GTATTAATGTGATATTAATGCTCCCTTTATCAACTCCAAGATAGCAGAATCAGAACAATCTTAATATCTGATCTGGAAAGCAGGCAGCTATATCAGTTCCTCCACTACATAATCACCAACCAACCAACCCAAATAAATAGTCAGTGCCAAATTTGTATTTTCCAGAAGTGATAATAAAAACCTTTCATTTGATAAGGATTCAAGCAGTTCCCCCTTCCTGAATAGTGATGTTTGCTAACATTTTCCTTGAGTATTGCTGTCATGTGAATCAACTTTTCATACACAGTCAATCTGATGGAGTAAAAATGCAATTGCTACTTACTTGCTTTTCAAGTCAAATGCATGGCTAGAAAACACTGTTATAACTGAGCAACAGTGTAATATTATTTGATTTTTAAATCAGTTGCACTTTACAGTAACTAAATTCAATGCCTATTAATTTATCTTCTTTCCATGGATGTTGGCACAATATTGTCACTTGTAGTGGAAATGAAATAATATTGGAGGTTGCAGAATTCTTCTAGCAAGAGTGACGTTTAAGCCTTTGTGTATTTGATACTAGGAAGTGAGAGATGGATATATTAACAGGGCAAGGTTTAACAGGGCAAGGTATTAAGAAATTAGACATGGATGAGTAGATGGCCTTAAAAATGGATTAATTAGATATAAATACATAAAATAATTGCATGAAAAGCAAGATTTAACATTCCTCATTCCTACTACCTTGGAGAGAGAAAATTATGTGGCTGCTGGAATCTAGTTGGTGCCAAGAGACACTGAAAGATCATGAACTGGGATAGAAAAAAACTATAGGATATATAAGTTGTAAAAAGGTTGGATTGATGCTTGTTTTTTAGTCAGTTTTGATTTTTTCATAACATCGAACTGCTACTGTTTGGGGTGATTGAATATTGTACTCTTGGTGGGCATGAACATCAGTTACTGCTTGTAGAGATATGTCTTTAGAGGCAGTAGTAACACTGAATGGCATGTTGCCAATCAGAAGGTTAGGGTCAAAGGCAGATACAGTAAAAGCTGGACAGGTTATTTACTGGGGAAGAAAAGGAATCAAGGAATCATTGAATGTCCTCAAAAGCTTGGCATTCATTTAGAGAAGATCCTGCTGATTAATGGCAAACTCTGGAGGGTAAAGGCAGCAGAGTGGGACTGGCTACTTGGATGTTTGAAACAATAAAATCTTCTCATGTAAAGGTTCTGTTTTAAATAATGATCTCTCAGGATGAAACATTTCCATTTCTGCATAAGGTGGTCCTTGAGTGTATCTTGCTGATCCAACTTCAGGATTGTCTAAATGAAACAGTTTATCTCGACCCAATTTACTTTGGCTCCAACTTTGGGATGGCAGTGTCCTTCTTAGCCTGGTAAAAGGATTTTGCTGGAAGCAAGATAGGTAGAATGATTCTGCTGGACCTCTCAGCAGCTTCTTATATGGTATCCTTCTGAATAACCTTGCTGGACCGAGGCAAGGAGGTGTGGGGACTATTGTGTGGTGATTCTACATTTCTTCTCATGGATATGAGACATTTTAGACAACATGATTGGGGATGTTTCTTGGACTTTGGTCTATGAATATGGTATTTCAATATCTGCACAAAATCACTGGGAGAAATCACTTGATTTCATGAAGACAGGTTCTTTATTGTCAAAACACAAAATCTTGTCAATTACACCCTGAGAGGAAAAAAAGAGAAAAGCAGGCGGGGGGGCACTTCTCAAGAATCTCTCCCCACCACCCAAAACTACTTCTGGCTGTACTATGCTGTAATAACTTAAAATGAGAATTTCATGCAGTTTTTTTTTTTAAAGATTCTCTAAAAATAAGGCAGCAAGCAACACTACTTTTTACTTTTACTAAGTATCCATAAGGGTGCCATGTTGTTCTGTGGGAAAAGATTAAATATATAGAACATTTCCACTGAAATACACAATAACACATCTTTCACATATCTATAAGGGATGAGCAAATTATAAAAGTGATTGTACTGCAAGGTTCCATAGATTTCAGTACTTTCTTTCTCAAATGGGAATAAACTAAATTCATTTCTGATGAGGAATAAAGGGGGTTTGACACTACTGTACATGTCTATAAACCAACCTTCCGAATTTTGTTAAATTCTAACATTGCAATTATATTCCACCGGCCATTGTCTTTGAAGTCTCCCCACTAAATCTAGCAAGACTTCATTCATGCTGGGAATGCTTACCCTGTTGGGAAAGAGAAAAGTCAAGGGAAAGGGACTCCGTCAATAGCCACCATCTCAAAGCACAAGGAGTCTTTCAATAGGCTCAACTAATTAAAGTGGGGATGAGGAGAGAGCCATGGATACAGAGGATTTCATCAAAGGAAGCTGCAACTCTTTTTCCATGCCAGTTGCTCTATTGGATTCGCTTAAATGTCTTCTGGTTTGAAAGTGGGTAGTTGGCCTGTTCCCACGTTACATACTCATGCACTCAAGCTAAGGCCTGAACAGGACTAGCACTGAAGACAACTGGCCAGTAAAGCAGGATAACATTTCACTAGCTTTCTGTCTCTGGGCAAGTGTACATATACAGGGGAGAGAGAGAAAATATGAAGCCTAATAGGTCTTCCCAGGAAGTAGGTCAAAATCCTGGGTAACTAAGCAGCCCAGTTGGAGCTGTGCAGATGAAGAGGCTTGCTTGGTTTTTGAAGGCCGGGGTTAATTAGTTCCAACTCTGAATGTACCTCCTTTAGTTTTCTTCACAGGAATATCCAGCAACCATTCTTTGGATGAGAAAAATACATTTCACGCAGTCCTGAGGTAAAGGCAGAAGGTGCATGATCTGATCCTGGCACTCTACTACGGATCCATGTACAGAAGCACATTGCAATTCCCAGGCATCTTTATTGTTTAGACATTTCCTCTAAACGTACTTTGAAAGTGGTGTTTGGCTAGTGTACCTTACGGGATTGTGTTTTTAAAGATGCTTCTGCAAAAATGGCTCTACAACAAGTTGTCAATTCAAGTTGTACTGTAACAGCAAATAAGATGGAAAACTCAGTAATTGTGGACAACAAAAGTCATCCTGGGCTTCTTTCTTCAGGATGAGGCTAAGAAACAGCAGGGCATTTCAGCTCAAGAAAGGCACAGCTAAAGATGCTTTATAAATAAAGGGTACAAAACCCACAAATACACCATTCTCATGTCACATGCTGCTGGAAGCACAAACTACTGTAAATCAAATCACTGGAATAAAGTCAAATATTGGTTCATACAGCACAAAAATTATCAGAAGAATTTACTTCCAGGTACTTGATGATAGTTTGTATTAGAATTAGATTTATACCCATAACTTTACAGAATCTCTTAGCTAATGGGTTATATGTTATACTCTTGAGACTACACTATCCTTTAGAGTGTGCCTGGATCTGGACCTGGATGTGTATTTTGTCCTTGACTTGATTTCCTTGCCCTCTGTAAGCACCGTAAGCAAGGAAACAAGAACTTATTGGTTTTCCTTAAATATAAATGGAAAAGATGGAACTTGAAAGAACGGAATCTAAATTCACCGAACTTGGAAGCTGCTCTCCTTTTTCTTCATGAACTTGCAGGCAACATTTCAACCACAGATTGATTTCCTCTTTTGTCAGCTATAGAACATGCTCATTCACACCATCTCATCATCTCCCAGGCACATAGTTAGTCACTTTTGCCCTTCCTCTTTCTCTATGGTTATGGACTAGAAAGGCCAGCGTCCTCCCAACACTCTTTTTCACCATTCGATGAAAAGCGCCCTCCCTAGACACGTATTTTCTATGGATTCACAGTTTAGCAGATAATATTTCTGGCTGCAGCCAGCATCATTTTGCAAAAAATCACACTTTTTGCAACTCTGGAAGCTCATAAACCTAACACATGCAGAACAGTGCAGCTTGGGAGAGTTCTAGCTCAGCAAACATGGCATTTTCTTTCCCTCTTTCACTACAACCTCCTATGGCTACAAATCCAGGTCAGACATTGTTTCAGACTTGGGGAACAGCTGGAGATGTCAGAAGGTCAAATTTGATCAGTGGCTTGGCAATCACCCGAACTTCCTCATTTAATGGATTT